AGAACAATAAAGGTACGAAAATCTGTGGGTTGAGAAAAAGACAATTTAACAGGTAATAATGCAAAAGGCATGTGAGCAAGCAAAGTGAAACCAGGAATTAATTCCCCACTTCCCGTGGGCAGGCAGGTGTTCAGTCATTCCCAGGAAAGCAGGGATCCATCACATAACAGAGACTTGGGAAGACAAATGCCATCAGTCAATTTGTGTGCCCTGTCCCTCACTGCTTCCTTCTTCTTCCATCAGATTTATGCTCAGCACGAAGCCATAGGGTGTGGGATTTGGTGTGGGATATCCCTGGGTCAGCTGTCCTGGCTGTGTCCCCTCCCAGCCCCTTGTGCACCCCCAGCCTCCTCTCTGCAGGGGTGGGATGATGGACAGGAAAGGCCTTGGCTCTGTGGAAGGGCTGCTCAGCAATAGCTAAAACATCCCTGAGCTACCAGCTCTGCTTCCAGCACAAACCCCAAACACTGCCCCACACTTGCTGCTCTGAGAAAATTAACTCTATCCCAGCCAAAACCAGCACATGTGGAGCTGTTCCTCACTCAAATTAAAATGCTGATGTAGTTCACCAGAATTAATGATTCTATGTGTGGTTTTCACAATATGGCTTTTAATTCCAGTGACATTAAAGCAAAGATTTATTGGAAACTAAACATAAAACACCCGCTGCTTTGTTACAAATGAAGTAGAGAGATAGCAGCTGGTTTTCCTGCAACCCCTGTTCTTTCAAAAATTTCTACCTACTGCATCCATCTTTATTTGTACTTAGGCATAAATTGTGATCCATTTACTTCTGTCAAGAAAATAAAAAATAGGTTGTAAAGATTTTACCAAAGATCATATTTTAAAGATGAAATTCAGTTCTCTTTTAGGTGAAGAACAGTAATAGTGGAACACAGGAGGCATGTCATATAGAACTATAAGTTTTGCTTTAAATGTCAGCCAAATTAACATTATGGGACATGACACACCTCCTAATTAAAGAAACAAAACCAAAAAAACAACTAACTAAAAAAAAAAATCTAACCATTGACTACTGACATTAAAGTATCATCAACTTCAACATGACGTTGATCCTTTAGAAACTAATAGAGTCAAACCTCTTATTTAAAGTTCTCCTTAACAATTGCATCTGCTTCAATTCTGTTTAAATCCAGATCTCATTTTATTCATGCATGCATGGAATGAGGCCAAATGCTTGGGGACAAGGGTTCCCAGGGAATAAGTGATCCAATGAGCCATCTGTACACACATCATGTCTAATCAGGCTGAGGTGGGGAAAATAAAAATTATCAGATTATTAAAATCTTGAAGTTTGGGAATCTTTTTTATCTCATGGATTTCTGGTGAAGGTGAATGAATTATTTAAGCTAGTGATAAGAAAAATGCACTTACATTACTTGGGTAATTTCCCTCTCTGCTGTTCTCTGGAGCCATCTATTTCTCTGCTCTTATATAGTCCACTTAAAGTCTATGGAAGAGAAGTGGACAATACAACACACAAATATTTCCAAAATTATCAAAATGGACATTCATTTTTGCATGATTAAAAGAGGAAATTCCAAGTATTGAGAAATACTAGTAAAAGGAATTAAATTCTTTTAGAAGGCCTCAACCATGACTCTTCCATTTTCTTCTATCTCAGTGTCATTGACACAAAAAACACTTGGAAATCTGTGGTCATGCAAGTTTGACTCTTCAGGTAAACTGAGGATTGTAGTGCCCTTTTTGCACCTTAGCAGCCTTTAATTCTGTACACATATGAGTCTAAATGGGATCAAAGCATGAATTATTGAATAGATAAAATTATTCAATGAAGAAAGGGAAGGAGTGGAAGAGCCTAACAGAAGGATGAACATCAGAAAATTATTTTCTGGTTAAGATTATGCAGAAAAAATTTGGAATCTTTTGCATATCAAGTGCATTTCACTAAAAAAATTCCCTTTTAAAAAGGTCTCTTTTAAAGTAATATTAAATTGGAGCACCTCAGGAGAATATCAATGAGCAGCTGTTACACCTCTCTCCTGGGTAAGCAGGCTCTTGTGCCTCCTGTCACATGCTCCAGCAGATAGGTAGGCAGAAATAGGATAGTTTTGTGCTGTTTACTGTCTTTTCAAACCTGTCATAAATCAGTATTGTCAACATATTCCAGAGAAAAACAATTAGAAAACAGTTGTTGGCGAAAGCCCAGGTTTAGCATTGAGCAGAGAGCTAGAGGTCACACTATATTAACTAAGTTAATCTAAGTATTCTTCCTTGTCCAAAAATCTATGCTTCTTAAAAATGCATGCTTCTATTTTTCCTGGTTCAAAAATCAATATTTCTTAAAAATGTATATTCTCAAATATTCAGAACTTCATGACTCACTATTGCTCCAAGAGTAGTTAAGCTAAGAGCTACTTTCATAAAACAGTCTGTATTTGGATGAAACAATATTTTTTGAGAGAAGTCCTGTTGTGAAAACCTCTTAAGCATGTCAGGTCAAAATCAAGTCTCTGGTCCTGAAACAGAACCATTTCAGTCAGCAGGATTTCATCAGTGCAGCTTGGAATAGAATTTGCCCATTAGCATGTTTAAAGCATTTGCTCACTGCCAGAGTGCTACCTTAATTCACTTCTCTGAATAAACTTCAATTTCAGCACTCAAAAGCAATTTAATATTGTGGGCAAATGAAATTATTTCAATCATAATGTGAAGAAGCAGAAAGGGCTAAGTAATTGCAAATGAAATATAACTAAATAAGGATGCTATTTATTTTTGAAACTTCCAGATGTGTGCAACATGTTTGTAATAGAGCATATGGCCACTTCTTGGCCTTAGGGATTTAGAGCTAGCTCTGCTTTGGCTGAACACAACTGCTGGAAATCAGTTAAAGAACACCAGTTCTAGCGAAAGAATGACATGGGACCCATCCCACAGGAGCAGAGGAAGAAAAAACAGACTTCCTCTAGCTATTTTTATGAGCACTTGAAGGTTGAAATGGAATTTTTGCCCCTACCTAATGAAATTAATGTTTTTTATGATGCTGGAATTAGCTGTAGAGTTTGTGCAGGATGAAAGATTAATTATTGCTTTGGAAGGAAGATTAAAGCTTTATTTCATTATCTGGATGGCCCTATTTACTCAAATTCTAGAGAGACAACTGAGTGGTGAGAGGTGGTACTTACATGGAACTAGGTGAGATCAAGCTACTGAGTTGAATAAGAAAGATAAAAAATGTTGTCTAAGAATGAATAGAAAAGCCAATAAAGATGTTATAAAAAAGCATGACAAGCAGTCCTAGGGACAGACAGAGATTACAGCAATGTACAATAGTGTCTCTTCTAAAAACCACTTAAAACCAAGCAACTGAAATTGCTTTGCAGAAGACTGCTTTGCTCAGTCTCCTGATGCTTCATCTAATTCAAACTTCACCTGAGACTTCAGATGGATACTGATACTTCTTTACCTGATCTGGACTCTGCAACAGGCAAAGGTGGTAGTAAAAATTCCTAAGCAAGTTATGGCTATGCATACCACAAAATAGAACTGAAGATTAATTATGATGTGAAGCAATTCCTGAAGCAACCCAAAGCAAGCAGGTAATTTACCGAATGGTCTGTGCTTGCCATCTAGCGGTACAAAGCCAACATTTTTTTTTCCTGCTGCATGAGGGCAGACTCAGCTGCTGAAATTTCCTATCTCAGAAGCAAACCTCTCCCACACAGAAATGTTCCTGCTCTCGGGATGATGGTGGTGAGAAGTTTACAACTTTCAGGAACCAGGAGCAGAAATTTTTCAGCCCTTGACCCCCCCAGACTTAGGACTAGCTCATCAACAAATTAGCAAGGGTTATCCAGTAATTAATTGATCTGTAACTCCAGTATCCTGGTTGCTTCTCCAGTCTTTTGTTCTTGCAGGTGAAGACTCCAAGAATATTCAGGCACTTTCACTGCTTTCTCTGAGAATTCAAGCAATGAAATGTCAAAGCGTTTTGAGAATATGTTCCAACATCTTTTAAACCACACTTATAAAACTCTTGGCCAAAGGCCCTCCAGGTTTCTAAAGGCTTCAGCTTTGCTTTACAGCACCTCTGTATGAAAACCTATGATTATTTTCCAACCAGGAGACTGATCTACAATGAAATTAGCAGCTCATTAAAAAATTGTGCAGGGAATACATACCATTCTCATACATATACTTAATATGAGCTATAGGACTAGTTTTTTCTCTCAAAACATTTCAAGAATACTTGAAAAAAGAATTTAGTAAAAGGAATAATTTTATTTCTCAGTTATGTCATAGAGTAAATACAAGAAAATTAATAGAAATATATTTTATCAGAAAAAAATATATACAGCATTATATCTAATCATACATATTACTCACCTGGATTTCTTGCTATCTATATCTATCCACAAAATAATAATTCTATATTGATTTTCATCTGTAGTAAGGAAATTTAAACTAATTCCCACATCCCAATTTTCTAGCAAATATTTTAGTACATTAATATTAATATTTGAAAATTATTTTAATTTTACTACAAAAAAACCCCAAAGCTATGAATTAAGACTTGGAGTTTTCCTAATATCTCTGTGATTCAGAAGAAGCTCTTTCTGGGACTTTCTGTTCTAAGCCATACAGAATTTTTTGTAAACTCCTTTCACAAGTCACAATGAATGAAAACAAAGCCATACAAATTGTATAGAGAACAAATCCCAGTTGACTAAAACAAAGATAAATGAGATTGAATTAACTTTACTATGTAGAGTTAATCATATTAACATTAATATGATTCTGAAAAGCGTATTTATACAATAACACCACATATATAACAAAACATGTGGAAAGAAAAAAATTTACATGCTATTAGCTATTGTCCCTTCTTAAAAAAAAATTATTGAATCTTCTATTTATTGGGCAGCTGCTGCATTCACTCATCCATTCATCCACTCTCTCGACTGTTATTTATGTAATTAATTATTCAATCAATTGTTCACTGAGGGACCGTATATGATCTATGTTTTACAATTGACCTCAAAGAGCGAGGCAGCTGAATGCATCCGATAGAAAATAGAAAAAGGCATCGCAAGGTTCACAACAATTATCCAGGGTTCAAAGCCAAAAACTATTTCTTCCAGTCCATTGTCATACTCCGGGCGGCACCCAAAGGCCGGTGGTATCCACAGCTGCAGGGAAAGAACGTGAGGCCAGTATTAATCACCAGCCCTACAAGTCAATAGCCCTTAATGACTGTGACTCACCGTGCTGCACACTGGTTTCAGGAGTCCCTAAGAAATCCCTCCCTGTTGCTACGGGGGCACACTGGTGGAAGAGGGTTTCAGCTTCTGCTGTTGCTACAGGTTTTGGACAGTTACTTAAAGGAACTTCCCATGTTCCTCATTTAAATAAACTTTGTTCCCCAAAAGCATATTCACTTCTTCCAGAAGTAAAATATTCTGCCTAAAAACTATAGAACCATGCAATTTTAATGTACTTATCAGACTTGAAAGGATGGGAAGCTTTTGGGTATTAACTTGTGAACTACATTCAAAATGTCTTACCGAAAGGTTGCAGAGGAATAAAAATGCAGCGATGTTCTTCAAAATTCTCCTCTTGTTGTTAGTAACTGAGTTTCTGCTGTAAAATGAGAAATCTGAGGCTGAGTGCATGACCAAACTATTGTCGTGACTCGTTTCTTCTGTAGCAACACCAGCAGCATCGTTTTCTCTCCCACAGATGCTGCCTTTAAACAGACAGGGTATGTCACCACTGTCACGAGCAGCTCTGCCATTGTAAATCTCTTTGTACAAGGGGCTGAGGGACAAGGTGCTCCCCCGAGATATGGTCACTATTCGTAGAGTTTTAATGTCCTCATTCACCTTCTCCTGCTCACGGTGGATGGATTCAATGATAAAGAGGTTCTGAATGTATTTCTCAATAATCACCAGAACCGAGTAGGGCAGGTTATACCATGTGTATTTGGGATGACCTTGGGCACAGATAATGGCAAGGATTGAGCCCCAGGAGAGCAGCCAGGACCCTGCAGCTGTGCCCACCAGCAGCTCTGCATCCAGTTTTCGAGCAGGGTTCTTGGAATTATCCAGTGATCTATCCTCCAGTCTGTAGATGAGAAGGGCGACAATTCCAGCCGTGCACATGAGAGCCAACACGAAGATAGCGTGCAAGTAAAACATAGTGAGTGCTAATTCACTTTTGATTTTTGAGCCTCCAATCTGAATTAAATACACAACAACTATGCCTATTGTGCTAGTTAACACAATTAGTCCAAAAATCATTCCGACAGTTATGCCATGGAATTTGAATGGAGTTTTGGTTTGCTGGTGGTGCTCAACTTTCCGACCAATGTTCTTCCACAGGACATAGAGCATCGTGGATGCCAGGATGTGGTACTCTATATTAAAGGGATATAGGTAATATATTCCCTGAGAAAATATTGAGCAGAGAGTTGTTGTTGTGCAGTTGCATTGAGGTGCATGATCATCTAGAACTAAAGGAGGAGGAGAGATCAGTTATGTTCATTATCAAGGTTCCTTGTTTAAGTGAATAAATAAAACATAAATAAATTATTGAAACAGAAAAGGTAAGACTTCAGTCAAACAACACCCAGTTACCCACCTAAGAAAAGGCTTCCCCATGCTTCACTGGGTTTGAAAGCAGAAGGCATCCCCAGCAGTTGTCATAGAATGGCCTGGGTTGGAAGGGACCTTAAAGATCATCTATTTCAAACTCCCCCTCCCACTGTGGGGAGGGGAGCCTTCCACTAGACCAGGTTGCTCAAAGCCCCATGAACATTTCCTTGAACATTTCCAGGGATGGAGCATCCACAGCTTCTCTGAGTAACTTGTCCCAGTGTCTAACCACCCTCACAGTGAAGAACTTTTTTTTTTATATCCTCCTTACCCTAAATATTTGCTGACTACAACTTGCACAATCTTGCCAATGGAGAAAATTATTCATTAGTAAAAAAAACACCCAGAGCAAAGTCTTTGTCTTGTAAAACAGCACTAATGGATGGCTTATATTCTTTTGAGCCATCACACTGAATCCTGTAGGACCACAGGCTACATGCAATCACTCTCCTGGGAAAGATTTGCAAGATTATCCATATTTGATTTTTTACAAATAACTTAGTAAGTAGTAAACTCTTTTTTAACACTGCTATGTTAATGTATTACTGTGATTTAGTAATAAAGTGGTTCCTTAGTGGTGTTCCTCAGTGATGCTATTCCTGAAAAGAAATGTTCTTAAAAAATCTATTTGTTTGGAACTTAGAAGAAAATTACTGCCTTGTTCACATGCATGATAATGATTATATAACATTTCAGTATCAGCTAATTACCATGTGCCCCAGAATGACTATGCTGACATAATCATGGATGACTTAGCTAAATCCTACAGTGACAGTGTTTTGTATGAGTGTGCTAGAGCAGGAATTTCACAATGCACCAAGCCTTTTGCTTACCTATAGTTATGTTCCCAAAACCAAGTGTGATTAGTCTTTCCTTATGTTCATTCAATTGATGTTTTGACTCCGTTAACACGCCATTTGTCCACAGGAGCAGATTTGTGAAAACAGAATGGATAACACCAAACCTACAAAACAAAGTGATTATTGCAGGAATCCTCACAGACTGTATCTCATTAAATACATGAAATGAAATTAAATGGATTAACTTTCTGTGTACAAGCTATATGGCACTATTTATTTGTCAGTGAAAGGGGAGAGTTGAAAAATCATCACCAATCTCTAAAGATGTTCTGCAGTCACTTAAATCAGTCTTCCAAAACCTTACAGAAATGCAATATATTAAATGGCCTAATGCATTAAACTATTAATAGAATGCTTTTATTGTTCCTTATGCTCTCTTATGTGATGGGTTTTATTCTTTGGGCTGGACAAGCTTAATGTTAGTGGTTGAACAATCTGAACAGGATTATTTGTTTGCAAACCATATTTCACAGCCTTCTGCAGTGCTTCTTCATATTCTCTGTCTGATCTTTCTTCACAGATACCACCATCTTCTCGAACTTCTTGCCCATGCATTTTTATCTTCTGGAGAGAGCTGAAGCTATCAGAGGGCTTTATTCCATTCAAAGTACAAATGTGGGTAGGTCTCCATGCATTTTTGAGGCTCCTGGCCTCTGACAAGTCACTTCAGCTTGGTGAAACAGAATGGCATTGGAGAAAGAAGTGTATTAATGGTTCTGAACTTCCTAATAAAATCCAGAAAAAACATTGTCCTCTGTTGCCAAGCAGTTCCCTTTTTAATAGGAGGTCATGTATCTATCTCTTTCCTAGATAAATCCTTTCACCTACCAATGCCAGGTGATTTCCTGCATCTGAGGCTGTTTATGTTTCTTCACCAAGAAACAGTTCTTAATTACAACACTGTCCTCGGTGATAAATTTGCAGTTAGAAATTTTTAAAATCTACTTATAAACAGAGCTGATAGCACCAGCTGACATTGCACAGCCTTTTGTAATCACTCTCTTCCTGAGCATGGGGTTTCCACACTTACACAGGAGAGCAGAACAAATGGAGAACCTTCACCACAGATGATGTTTCTGAGCAAATTTATTTTACCACCTATAGAAACTGGTCACATCATTGATAACTTCAAATAAGTACTTTAAAAATTACCATGTTTGCTTATTTATGTCCTATGTACAGACAGATTAATTTACATTTATCCACCTTCTCACAAAAGTAGAAAACACATTGGATCTGATTTGGTACCAGGATACCACCAGGTAGGCTGTGTTTCCAAGTGCATATGCGCAGCTGTGAGGTGTGGTTGACATGCCTGAGGGATGGGATGCCAGAAGGACCTGGATGAGCTCAAGAAATGGCCCTATGAGAACCTTATGAGGCTCAAAAAGACAAGTGCAAGGTCCTGCAGCTCGGTCAGGGCAAGCCCCAGCATCAATATGGGCTGGAAACATTCAAGGTTGGATGGACCTCTGAGCAACCTTATCTAGTTAAAGGTATCCTTGCTTATTGCAGAGGGATTGGACTAAATGGCTTTTAAAGGTTTCTTCCAACCTGAACTATTCTATGAGTCTAAGACCTAGTTTTAAAAAGGTGCTTTCCATAAAATCAATATAAAATACCTCAGTTACAGTACATTGACTGCAGGTTGCTGATACAAGTATCCTTTCAGTAGGTAAATAAATAAAACACAATATAGTGCTTAGTCTTAACACACATACATGAACCTTCCTTCTTAAGTGACTCTGTAGTATCAAATATTGATACCACTATAAGATAAGATACGATTTTCCTGTCTCATGAGAAAAATATTTGTATTCTGACACTATTTTGTATTACAAAATATCAGGGCAGGTTAAATAAGGGTAAATGGAGTTACTTCAACTGTTCTGTTTCTTTCTACTTAATGCAATCCAGAAGAGAATCAATCTCTGTATATTTTCACTATCTCTCATACAATAAAACTTTGGTGTTAAAGCACTGTACAGACCTACACCTATTAACATGCAGATGAGGATCAGATCCACTTTACCTTTCAAGTGTTTTGAAAGACTGGATAACATCCTTTGCATGACACCACAGAAAATACACCTAAATAGAAGAAATACAAAGAAATATTGTTACACTAATGCACATGTGTAACACTCAGAAAGGAATATGCATCTGTAGATAGACATTCAAATGGTTAAAACTTCTGATTATTCAAATTGAGGCAGCTCCATCTCCACACATGTGAAAGAGCTCATGATTTAATGTGATATTTACACAAATCCTGATATTTCTTACATGAAAAATCAGTGGCTTAACAGTAGAAAGTCTAAGTATCACTCACTAAAACACATTTTCCTTCTGTATCTGAAGAGATTTTATTTCAATGACAAACAAAATAAAGCCACTGGCTGTGGATAGAGGTATGATTGCTGCAGGGCATGGTGATGCAAAGTTTGAATAATTTATGAAATATATTAAATTCTATGGAGGGAAAGAGATTGATGAAAGGATGCCAGACTTGACTAATAAAACAACAAATTCCCAGGAAGCATGAGAAAAGTTTGTACTAACTGCATGAGAGACAACCCCATTAAAAACACAGCAGCTGCACTCAAGGATAGTGCAGAAAACTCAAACAAGGAACAAAAGAGAGAGATAACAATAATAAGTTAGCAAGTCAAGGCAAAGAGGAATAAAATTAGAACTCTCTGTGACAGCATAATGGAGACCTCAGAAAAAGACTGCCACTGAAACAAAACCAAGTGTGGATAGGTTCAAGAAGAACTATACCAATGTTCCGCAGGGATATTAGGGTGATGTTAACAGCCCAATAGTTCCTAGGATACTGAACTCATCACTAGGTAAAGTATCAGGAGAGAAAGAGTCCCAAGGTTTCTCTTAGAAACCTGCCTGGTCTGGTACTAAAGAAATGGTCTGAAAAGTGATAAAAACTTTGGGTTCTTCTTTAGCAACCAGAGTAAACTGGAAGTCCATTTTTCCACAGCATCCATTACTGCAGGATGCCTTCATAGTCACTATTTCTGAGGCAAGCAAAGCTAGACAAATGCAGTTTTTTATGGCTCAACTCTGCTACCCAGCAGTAACAATTCCTCTAATGAAGCATTTATCAATGAGAGGAGTGGCCACCATAAAATCCCAGGTGTATGGACTAAAATATTTCATGTAGGCTTCAACTGAAATAGAATTGAAATTACCTTAGTCTCTAATGCCATATTCAATTTACCATCCTGGGATAAATGCAGTAAAATCTGACAGCAGATTTGAAACCATTCTTTAAAACTTATAAAAACGTAAGTTTTGATGATCTGTTCAGACACAGGATAGTGGGAAGAAATAGGAAAACTCAGTACAGAAATAACATAAAATCCAGTTTGGCTCACAGAATACTCAGAATACTTCTGCCTGCAGAAAAATATAATGCACAGCCTGCCCTGGGAGGGCAGGTACATGTTAGCTCATACATGAGTGCAGAATGTATATATTCATTTCATGACATGTATCAGGATGCCTCACTTTGAGTAAATGACAACAGAATCTGATATATATCCATTAGAAAACAAATTCTTTGGTTTTTAGATGACACATACTAGGGATGTTCTCTGCTGTGATTTCATTCACTGTTTCAAAGACACAAGAAGATTTGTCTTAGGTAAGAGGTATGTGGTTCATTACTTTTTAAATTTAACTTTTTCTTTGATTTCTCAGGCTAACATTCAAGTGTTCATTATTTTAAGCTCTGTAGATGATAAATTCAATGACCCTGGGTGATGTAAAATTTAAATTAGAATTCTTATTGACTTTGTTCAGCATTTTTATTCATCATTCTTCCACAGTCCAGTTCATGATGGCTGGAAACCTTGTCAGCTCTGGGCCACTGGCTGTAGTGCAGAATGCTGTGTTCAGATCAGCATACAGAAGAGCCTAATTTCATTGGTTTGTTTTTCAGAGATGAAGGAATGAAGTTGCAGGACATGGAGAGTGGATTTTACAAGAATGTAAAACTAAGATTACTTCAACCAACTCAGAATTTCAGAGAAAAACATAGATGGGCTGAGAGTAACTATTTAAATTTCAGGGTTTGGTTGTTTGTTTGTTTTTTTGTTTTTTTGGTTTTTTGGTTTTTTTTTTTACTGTCGAAGAAAGCAGAAAAATGTAGGTTGTTCAATCACAGCTGCTAGGAAAACATTTCTTTTCTTTCTGAATGACATAAACCCCTTGGAAAATTCATAAAAGTGCCTGGCTATGATTGAATATTTCATCTGAGTGGCTTTTGCTTCCTTCTTCCCTACAAACCTGCTGACAGGGGTTCAGAGGAGTTAATGTGAGAACCAAACAGCTATGGAGTGCCACCACACACTCTAGACCCAAAGCCTTATAACAAACAGCTGGAATATTTCACAGGAGTCACTATGTTTGCTACTGTGCAGCCACTGATAAGAACAAGCAAATGCTTCTAGAAGGAAAATCCGAGTTCATTTTGACAGGAAAGTTGTGCAAGTATTTTAGAACCAGCTAGGAAGGGTTTTGTCCCCTTTAACTTACCCAGCCTACACCTCTTACCACAGAGGAACATCAGGTTAGACAGATGGAATTGAACTTGTGTGGCAAGTCCTACATACATAAGCAAGGGAATTGTCTTTAGCCAAAATAGTCATTTCAGCCTGAAAATTCTGTATGTAACTTCAACCAAACAAAAAGGCCACATAACTTCAACTGCAGGAGAAAATGTTTTTTATTATTTTTTTTCAAACCCATGAATTTTGTGGCTAAGCAACTTCAGGTTGCAAACCTTGAATTTACTATACACACACAAGCCTTTAGTCCTCAAAAGTATTCTGTGATATGCTTAGAAATCAAATTAGTGTTAAGTCCACTGATGACAAGATAAAATATATTTTTGAAAAGAAGCAAAGATTTATATAAAAGTGCAACCAGTGACTTTTACCTGTAAGATGGTGTGGACAGCATGTGTAACAGGAAAAATGCCTTCAGTTGGTGATAAACAGTTTGAAAAATCAATATAATATCCAATTTTAAAGGAATCCAGAATTAAAGTAATCACTGCAAATAATGTAATCCCACCTATGAATGAAAAAGATATTAGAAAATTTTATGTATAGTTATAGTGTCTAGAGACTATAAAATATACAAAAACCTATTTAGGGGAATGAAAACTGACCAATATCTGTGTTCTTGTTTAGGAAAATAAGAGCGGATCAATGCTCAAGAAGATAACAGACTCTATGAAATAAATGCCTCTAATTTGTGAGAGCCTCTGCCCAGTACATGAAGCAGGGTCACCACGGGCATCCCCTGCATGGTCAGGGAGGAGTTGCCAGCCCTGCCCTGCCCAGGACATCCAGCCCCAGCAGAGTGCCCAGCTCTGGGCAGGACAGGCTCCCAGGTGACAGTGGCACTGAAATAGCCATGGAGAGCAGGAATTCCTGCCCTCAGCAGCCCCACAGCAAACCGGGCACTCCTGGGAGCTGAACAATCACCTCACACCCCCCAGCCCAACCCCTGCACAGTGGGAAGTAACACAATCACTTGGTGTGCCCTCCCCATGGCTGGGGGCGGTCACACTGCAACTCAGAGACCACAACCACAACGAGCTGTATGGTTTGTTCTCCTGATGAAGAACCAAAGATTTCATTTCAGTATCTGTATTTCACACACACACAAAAATATCCTAACATATTACTCTATACCCTAAAGAACTTTGAAATACATTTCCCTCTGTTCACTTTTTTGTTGCTGTTATTACTGGGTTTGTATCTGTATGACAAAGTATAATTGGCTACAAGATTACCGAACCAAACCTTGGTTTTGTTTTGTTTTGAGGGATTTTTTGGGGGCATGGATGGGGTTTTTTTCCTTTATTAAAGCTTTTTTCAAGCAAGTTTTCACTGGATTTAATTTGGACTTATTTGAATGAAGACCAGATAAAAATTTATGCATGGACCTTAACCAGACCTCATGATATAAACCAGCATCAGTAACTTAATCTTTCTTTGTAATCCCTCACAGAGTAAATAACATCACCAGTATTGACTTGGATTAGTATTTATCTTTTATATGGAGCCACAACCTATAAGTTCTAGTTCAACCTACAACTTCCATATAAGTACCATGTGTTCCACTTGACATGAGGTATTAAAAAAGTAACACTAAATTAAAAATTTATTTAATTAAAACCTTTATTCTCGAAGTTGCATTGATAAAAATTAAGTAGAAATTATATAAACACACTGTAATTTTGTTTATTTTTTCATTGACTCTTTAAAATTAAACAAAAATAGACTTTAGAAACCTTTTCAATCACAAGGGCATGAATTCTAACAGGATTTTATGCTTCTGCTTTATAACCTCTCTATAATAAAAACACTGTAAAATTACTGGTTGAGTGTAATTTCTACCCAGAGCTCAAAACTTCTGCTTATATATTGCAAAATCTAAAACCTCAGGTCTGCACTTCATACATGTGTATGATCCCATAGAATTTTTTTAAATGTATGCTTCTTAGGTCAGCTAATTTGTATTCTAACACATGTAACAGGACTGGAGCCCAGGTTTTTAAATAGAGGTGCCATTTTTATTGTGTATGAAACTAAATGGTATCCTAAAATACAAATTTATAGGCCACTCTTGAGATAAATGGTATGTTTCTTGCCTTATCTAAAGAATGTTAATTATGAAATAAATTAGAATTTCTAGTTCTGATGATATAATTATAAATATAACTGATTATAAATCACTCTGCCTAAGTAGGCACGCTCTGAGCAAGGTAGACTAGATGAACTTCAGAAGTCCCTTCCCACCTGAATTATTCTAAGATTGATTTTGTGATTTATTATTTATTTACAAGTAGGCAGGAAACAGCCTATTTGTCTGAAATGAGTCCATTTCACACGTGTTATGATTGTTTCAGTAAGAAGGCAAAAGCTATCTTCTGAAGCAAAAAGTTTATAGACTACTGACCACCAAGGATTAGAAGACTTTATATGACTCTTAATTTTAGATTTTTTTCATTTATTATTAAATGGTATTTAGATACTTCTGCAATCACCCAGGTGGCCACACTACAAGTGTATACAAAGTGTCCAACATACGTATTTATGGGCTTCAAAAGAGAATGATTGTACTAATTTTCTTAGTCAAAAATCAAAGCACAACAATAATGGCCATGCATACGGTATGTTAATAGGTTTCCTGACAACTTTTTGTGATAGAAACTTCAGTAGTATGTACTAAAAGGACACCAGTAATTTCAAGGAAGATAATTCCACCGCTTAGTAATTTTCATTTAAAATTGTAAGAAATGTGAAATTATTGCTATTGAGCACTGGTTCATTATTTTTTCCTTTCAAACATTCATTGAAACCTCTGTGTTTTAAGGGATCACTAATAGGATTTTCAATATTGCTAAGTGCTGGCTCATTTCTTGCTAGTAACCATCAAGATCAGAAAAACATAATGATACAGTTGCAAAAACACCAGTCCCACTTTAAAATATTGTTCAAATAATTGGCAATTCAATGCAGGCAGTAAAAAGATACAAGTCGAAGTCTGTCAAGAGCTTTTAAGCTGACCAGTTGTCAATGCTTTAAACAGAAACTGTGCTGCTAAAGAGTGTGATAAAATAAAGCCAACCGATTTTCATTATGACTTCTCTGGCTCACTTCACTGCATTTTCCCAAAAAAATGGTCAGAGAGCTTTTTCTAGCAGGAGAGCATACTTAGGGGAATAACATTTGGAATAAGTCAAGGAAAGACTTCCTAAGGTTCCCTGTGGTAATTTGGGTCAGGATAACTGTGTTTTATTAAAGACACAGCTCTGCCACAAAGTTTTCCCACATTCAGACTCCAAGAGTGGTTCTTGGTCAACCACACAGGTGGGAGGAGAACCAAGCTCAAGGGTTCACACAATTGACACCTTTGTGCAGAAAGGCTTGAGGAAAGCTTCCTGTGAGCAGCTCTTGCAAACTGATCACTGTCCTTCTAGTGTTGCTAAACCGTACAAGGAGTCAGTTATAGGAGGGTTTTGTTAAATCATTCCATTTCAACATTTGTCAGAGTAAAATGGTCTAAGCAGGCAACTGCCACCACTTTTACTAAAGTGGTATTCACAGTTTGAAAGGATTCATGAAAATACACTCATTTTATACTGTTTCATACAAGGACATTTGCTCTCACAATTACAGCAGAGATGTTCTTCAAAAGTAGCTGATAGAGCTAGTAAAAAAATTGCAGAAAGCTTTCAGTGGAAAAACCCAAACAAAATATGTCTGTCCCACTCCTTCCTCCCCTTTCCTTTTTGGACTTTTGATCTTTCAGGTAAAAGACTTCTATGACAAAAGCATGATAAAGAGGAGGGCACAGGGGATCTTGGCAGAGGAATTGCCACCTGAGTTTTTCCTTAGCTCAAATCAGTTTTCTTTTACCAATAGAGGATAAAGGAGTTGTACAGCCTTGTTGTAGCTACAAGAAACTCCCAAGAATAGGAAAGTGTAGGTCATTCCCTAAGGGCAAATTTGTTGAATTGCAGCCTAAGAGAAGCCATGGAACCCACAGCACTTGAGAAGCCAGTACAAAGAGCCATCCTGTGCTGGTAAAAGAAATGGATATGGTAACCCAGTAGTTCAATCTAGGATCTTATTTCTAAGTTTCTGTGACTCCTTATATTCTGTAGGACAAATGAAATGCTGTGAATGCGGCGCCAAAAAAAAAGAGGGTGGGGGATCCTGCTGTACTTACCCATGCTAGGCAGCATTTATTCCATTTTTAGGAGGAGAAAGCTACCCTCTGAGTAACAAAAGCTTAGCTTGGCCCAAGGTAGGATCATATTAAGCCTTGCATGAATTTCAGGAGGTTGTAAGCCACATAAGCTAATAAATGAAAAATGCTTGAGAGATTAACATTTCCTTGAAAAATAATAAATAATCAAAAGGAACAACGTAACAGTTGGCATGTGAACTCCATACATTTCAGGAAGGAGTCTACAGACCATGGCTATACATAAGACATTAAAAAAAACAGGTTTTCTGTCAGCGATTCAAACACAAATGCTAACTGTTGTGAAGAAAGTAAATGATACACAAGCACTGAGATTGAGGACTACATTTCCACAGCACAACCTTACTTTTCAAAACAATCAGGTGTCAGGTGTTCTTGGAATTTTCATTTAGATGTTTAATTAGCTGCTGTGAAAATAGCTGTTGTCTCATTGCTAGTAAGTAGAAAACATTTTAGGGGAAATCTGTCATAACATTCCACTTAAATACTTTCCAATCTATCATTCACAGTGCTGAGACTGGAAGAGGCTGGTAAAACTGGGATTGCCTATTATTGCACAAGCACTGATGTAGGCTGTTCCTTTTCCTTGGTACCTGAAAACACAGATTCCTGTCACTACAATTCTGTGATGTGCTGCCCAAACACCTTCTCTCAATTACCTTTGTATCCTCACTCTGGTGCACAGCTGACAGCAGATAAGGGCCAGCACACCCCACCACTACCCTTGCAAACTTGGATACTTTTTCTGCAAGCAAATGCTTAGTTTAGATTCCTTGTTTAACTGCTTTATGTGCTGATTACAAACTGATCTGGTCAGGGATTTTGTCTTCTTCTGTCTAACTCTAGATGTTTCAAAAGCATCACTGTACACATATAAACAGGAATCTCTGATACATGTTGGTATAGACAGAGCTTCAGAACCTTTCTGACTGGTACTACCATAAAGCAAATTGCATTATACCATCTGGAAAAGGTGATAATTCCTCTAAAACAGCTGCAAGACAGCAACAAAACTGCCTCTTTCACTAGCCATATTTCATTTTTCAAGTTTCACCAAACCAGCCTGGTAAGGAAGAAAGGTGTAGGAGCTTTCAGCACTATAAAGGGTAGTTGGAAAGTAAGGATGTTTAACAAACAGCTTCCCAATACAATCTTCTAGTATATTCAGCTTATGCATATATTTACTTTAGACTGCACTGCATGTTCATTCAGTTTGCAAATACCAGGATGCCTCCCGGTAGGGATGGAGAGGCAACAAAGAGGCAGCACAGGTGACGGCACAGATGTCCCTTGTGCGGTACCACTCCGTGCCATCCGCCCATACTTACACTTCAGCCAGCGGGCTCCGGCGTGTGTGTCCTTGTCCCGGATCAGCCTCCTCTGCGTGCAGCTCCTGCAGAGGTACCACAGCATCCACAGCAGCTGGATGAGCATCAGCGTGATGAGGTAGGAGAGCAGGTGGCTCTTGCTGATGCCCACGGCGTGCACAGCCCAGGCGAAGGTGAGCAGCAGCCCGGCCAGGAAGAGGTTGATGCCGTACTGGCTGCTGAGGATCTCGGCGTTTTTCTGCGGGTAGCTGCCGCCCACCGCGGGGCACCCGGCGGCTTGCTCCATGTCCCACGCCGCCGGCCAGGTGCTCCAAGCAGGCGGCCCCGCTTTCCCCGGGGAGCCCCGAGGGCGCTGCTGGCCCGTCCCCCACAGCGGCGGGGGCGGAGCGGGACCGCCGGCCCTGCCGTGCCCTGCCCGCGGGCGGGGGTGCCCGGCTGCCGGGGGGGGCTGCTGAGGTTTCTGCGGGACATTCTTCCCCGACACTGACAACTGCTGGGCTCCGGACCAGGGTGAGGAGAAGTCACTCGGACGAAGGTTAGCTCGGAGCCAGCTCTGCCCGCTTGCCTTTGGTGACATGGTCCGTGTTGGGAGACCCGTGCGGTGTAACATTCCCTGGGCAGGAAAATGCAAAAGACACCGTGTGTTGAACAAACCCCCGGCCCGGCGGCTGGAAAGCCGAGGAACGGCCGGAACCTGGGAGCTGGTGAGGCCGGAGCCTGCCCTGCAGCCCTGCAGCCCCCAGCTGCTGATGGAGCTCCTCCGCAGGGCAGGCAGAGGGATGACACACGTGCTTTCACACTCTGGCCTCCACAGGCCATCTTCTTCTGAGCAATCGGCACTTTTACTGGTAGGACAGAACCTCGTTTTTCAGGAATTCTCTAGACCTTTCAAAAGTGGTAATTTACCTTGTTTTTTTTAGAAAGTCCCATTCTGACAACACAGGACTATAGGAATTGCTAGCTGGAGAAGCAACTACTGACCTCAAAGTAGCAAAACCTTCTGCAGAATTTAGTCCCCTTCTTATATATTAATTTTCCCAATATTTATATTGACCCTTTTCTACTTAAAATGAATTCTCTTCACTTTAGGTATTTGGATGCTAAGCATAGCTTGGAGGCCAAATACCAAGATAGAATTGTTTTTGTTCTGGCCAAGAGTGTCTTACATCTTTGCTCTGTAGCTGTTGGTTGCATATTCATTACCCAAAACATTGACTTTTACAGTGAGTGACCCACACCTTGCATGAAACTAAGATACTAGTTCAACTACAATTGAAAAAAAAAGATATATTGAAAATACAGCATCTATTTTACTCCACTTCCTCTGGCAAAGTCATTTTAAGCTTTTTCTCTTCTGAAGCCAGAAGAGAAATAGAGGGGCGTTTCTCATATAACAAAGGACACTTTTGAGCTTACATATAAGTGTCTGGGGTTCACAAGCCTCTTAAAGAACAGGGAAGAAAAACAAAATGGCAGAAAGGTGGAATGACTGAATTCTGGACAATCACCTATTTAGGTAAACATAAAGAAGTAGTTCCTGTCCTTTATTCATTTTGTCCTGTTCTCAAGAAACAGGTATTTTAAGCCATCTGCAAATTTTCCTTTTGAGAAATGCACTTAACAGGAAGAGAGCCTTATGTTTCTGTCTGGCCTGTTAAATCAAAAGCATAACCAGTCATTCAGGCCACCTCTAGCTCACAGCTACATCCATTGTTATCAGAAATGGCATTGTGGGATTGCCAAATCCTACTTCCATCTCATATAATGTAACCTTTAAAGAATAACTAAGGAAGATGTTTCCATTTTACAGAGCTTCTATGGGTAACTGTGATAAATAATCTTCATTGCATGGACTATTTTACTTCAAATTATCCAAGAGCATTCCTTGTCACCTGTAATAGAAAGCTCTTTGGTGCTGGTACACATTCTCATCCTGAAATGAAATAATGTAAATGGATACAGAAGATACCTATGGTGGTCTGTACCAAGAGAACACATTCAAGCTTTAGTAGAGGTGAGGATTTCAATTGCCTCATTTTTTTTTCAGGGAATTATTATGCTATCCTTGCCCTAAATTCTTTATTTGGTGGTAAGGAAAATAACAAAAGCAAGGAGTTCACAGAAGTGGCAGCAGCATTGTGTCAGGTTGCAACAATTAAAACAAGCATTGTTTTATATTCTTACCAGATTTGCCACTACTTCCTTTTGAGCACATAAATGAATGAGTATTGTGTTGGATACTCAGATCTGTTACTGAAAGACTTTGTACAATGAGCATTTCTACCTGGGATTCTCAGAAAGACATCAAAGTAGTCTGAAGGCAAACAGCTCTCCAGAGGTGAACAGAGTGTTATTACACCTTCAGTAAACCCAGGTGAAGGGGAATGAAAGACAAAGATACCCTGAGTCAAGTATAGTATTTAAAATCTACATGAACATCTATTTTATAGAAAAAGCAATGAGATGGGGTGGAAGTCTCCAAGAAAGTGTCATTAGATGGTAAACAATTAAATACTGAAGAACTATTGATAACTTTTGTACAAAGTTTATTAAGATGTTCAGAAGAATGAATTTGAAAAATCCTGTAGCAAATAGTAATTTTAATTCAGATTACAAGGCAACTTAAAACACTTAGAGCAATTATATAGCTGACAAATAAAAATACAGCTATAATAACCATCCCTGAGCAATACTGCATTTTAAATATTATAATAAAGAAAGTTACTCAAATGTACCTGTGTATGCAGACATAAAATTGTTAAAAATTGACGACCTGAAGATAAGCAACTTGCACTTTAAAGATGTGAAGCATGACTGGTTTTGGCAAATTTAAATATTACATTTAAATAAATCAAGCTGTTAACTTATCCTACAAACTACTTCAAGTAGTGCTGAATGCACTTTATTTTGGTTTGTCTGATCCTTTGTATTACATACTACTAGGTCCCAACTTTTTTCATTAATGGAACAGTAACAACCAAAGACAATGTGCATTCTCTGTCATTACTAAACATTCCGTGTGTTCAGCAGTGGTGTGGATTTGGAAGCCAAAGTGAAGAACACAGTATCCTTTGGCAGTCCAGACTTCAAGCAACACTCACAAGGAGTAGAATTTAACAGGTTTCAATACCCAATTTCTACATTCTCCTACTTTCCAAAAGGCGTGCATGGAAAAGTATTTACACAAGGACCTACACAAAGTGGTCTAGCAACCAGACGGTGCCCAGGTCTTCAGACAGTTAAGTATCTCAATCAACATGAACAGATATTTAATAAAAATAAAATGCTATTTTATTTTCCCAACTGAGTATAACTAGTAGCTTTTAAGTTAATATCAGCCTATTCATTGCTGAGTAAGGAAAATGGCAACTTCATTAACAGGCACTGCTAAGAATGAAAATTTGATTTACAGTAGAAAGAATAACATGAATAGTGAAAACCAGTGCATACATCAAAAGAATTCAATGTGTGCTCCAAATTTCTTGTGTAGTGTTAATATTGTTCAATGTATTGCTGGTTATTCGCAGCTTGATCATCCACCTTTGGCTGTGGACAAACTGTATGAGTACAAGTAGAATTTATTTATTTAATTGATGGCACTGCCAAATGTCAACCAGCTTTCCCTTTCCCTTGTCCATACATTTTTTAAACACTAGCAGATCTGAATTTAAGACATTAGATAGTAAAGTATTTCCTATATGGTAACACATATAACAGCAGAAATTTAAGAGATCAAGAAATGTCTCCTGTAAGTAAGTTTACAAGTACAAACACAGGTTGCAGATAACAGTATTTTACCTGTCAATTCAAATGGAAAGAATATAGTATTAAAACCCCACAACACTTGATTTAAGTATCACTTACTTCCAAATCAAACAACATGATTTGAGCAGGAAGTTTGATTAGGTAACCTCTGAGGCCCCCAGAGATAATATTTAAAGGTCTCTTTCAACATTAACTATTCTATGGTGCTATTACTTACTACCCATGTGCTTAATACTCAAATATAAATAGAAGCTTTACAAAGCTTTACAAAACTAAAGGCTTCCTGTTACTAAGAGATGTACATCATATTTATCTTCCAATTATTAACTAATCAGCTGCTTTTCCTATGGTTATGTCCATTGATTTATAAATCAAGTAGATGAAGAATTACTGTATTAGAGCAAACAGGCAGTATTAGAAACAGAAGTACTGGAATGTAACAAAAGTGACATACACTTTGCAGGATTACAGTTACTTGAGTCCTTCAAATGAAGCTGAAAGAAAAGAAAAAAACAAATTTAACAAAAATCTTTGAATGTTCTATATACTGCACAAGCTCTATCAAAAATGAATTAATGATTTTGGAACATCAAGTAATAACTTGTCCCTAATAATTAGGCAAATAATTATTTGACATAATACAGAATTTCCCCACATACTTCAAAAGTGCAGAGACAGAACACGGCTAATGATAGATCCAACAAACATGGATACCTCTGTATCAGCACGTGTGACTCAACATTGTGTCACAATAAAGAGGTTCTGAATTACGTATTGTATTTTCCAGAAGTCTGAGTTTTGTCAGAGTAGAAGTTAATTATCTCCTTAAAAATCAGGTTTCTTGATATCTCAAAAATAGAAGGGAAAATGCAACAGTGGTTCAGCTTGTTATTAAAAAAAATAAAATCTGAGTTTCACCATCCCAGACATGAAACAATTTTTGCCTACAACTTTGTCAGTACAAGAGGCTACACTCTAAATCCAGCAATCCAGCACAGTCTTCCTTTTGCTGCATTCCTAAAAATGCTGAGGGATCTCCTCATTAGAAAGCGGCAAGCAAAGAGCCAAGCAGGCTTCCTCCCCATTCCCTTGAGAAGTACAACAAACAAGACCTGCTGAAGGAGGAGCTGCCCTGGATGATATGAGACCCCTGTGATACAGGGGACATCCCATTTACTGAGCTGTGTTTGGTGTCATCCTTAGCTTTTTACATTTCACTGGATTAATTTGATAAGTATATCTAACAAAATATGTGGCAGTTATTGAGAATGCATTTTTCAAGTCAACAAAACAGATGGGTTGGCCTTTGAAAAGTTCTTTTTAAAAGAACAAATAACTTCTCCTATCTGGCAATTTTCCACACAGCAGGTTGATCTGGACTGTGCATCACAGTCATCAGAAAATGAAAACAGCACACTTGAAGACAAAGATATGACAAAGATTTTTAATTTTAAAAAAATGGAGAAGGCAACATCCATAGATGTTGATATCTTCTCCCCTTTACTATCAGGTCAAACAGCTTTACTAAGAAGTTACCCCAGGCTAGGTAAAAGCTGCAGGTTTTTGGTCTATACATCCCCAAACCGTCCAATGTCACTAATGTTTCTTTTCAATGTCTACAATGGAATTTTAGAGAAGTGGAAAGGATATTCTCCCCCTTTTGATAATTGCATGTTCTCTGTTTTCTCTATATGCCACAAAATGTCACAATTTGAAGAATGCCCACAAAACATAGAGAAGGAACCCCTAAACAGCCTCCCAATCCTTAAATGTCTAACAAAGCAGTTCCCACAACAAGATAAATACTTTTATGTGCTTAAACAATTCAATTATTTACCTGAAGGGCTTATCCCAGGAGTGACACAAGCATCACAATACCCATGAACTGAATGAAGAGCAACACAGGTGTCAAAAATGACCAGACAGGCCACAAGGCAACATTGAAACTGGGAGTAAAAGCAGAAAGTATTTGGTAAGTTCAGTTGTCACATTACAGAAACATCAGGCATACAAAGAAAACATGTCAAAAGAAGAAGTAAGACTTAAATTACTTAACCTGGAAATATACTTGTTTCTGAAAACAAAACACATCAAGGGTAAAGGGTAAAGATACCTTTTACTTTCAGAAAATCTGTATCTGAAGCCCCTGAAAATTACCTACTCTGATTTTTCAATAGGCATACATTGCAGCTGAGAGAAGCTTTAATCTGAACTTTGATCTTGACAGATTTCAGTTAACTGAAGAGACAAGGGGAAAACCAACTTATTTTACATCTGACTTACAAGAATTACAGATTTGACTAATTATAAACCATAGGGAACCTTTATTTTTCTCAATCTTCCTTTTTTTAACCATTGCAACAAATACTGACTGATACCCTGATACAACAGCTAAACAAGAGGAAATAAATTTTCATGCAGAAAGCAAATAAACTAACTGGTACAATGGAATTTTCTTCATTCACATTTGCTCAGTTCTCATACAATCTCATAAGTAAAGCAACTCTTACTAAAAGTACCATTCTCAGATAAAATATAAACCCTTAAAGCTCATATGGCAATAGTCAGAAGTCTAACATTTTGTGTATGTTTGCTAACTTGTAGATTGTTTGATAATGAAGAACTCTGACAGAAACTGATTAAACTGATTTTTTTCTCAGATGAGGAGACTGCACCTTTGTCTTAATTTGTAAACTGCACAAGTTGTTGCCAGAGGTGAGAAATTTACACAAAGATAACTTCAGTTTTCCCCTAAATTTTCAAGACAGAAAAGATCCAGTACATCTCTAAGTACACAATATAAAGTTTCAATTGTTGCAACTCTTGCTTTGTGGATGAAAGTTGAAAGTGCAAGAAATTCTGCTATACAGAACTGGTATTGCCACCAATACACATAGCATAATTACAGAAATGATAGCTCTTATAAAATGAGCCCATTAACACAGACTTTGGCAGAAGTTTGCACAGTGTTTGAACTCACCAAATTGCTGCTGCTATGAAGGTAGCTGTTGTGATAGGAATCAGTGCAGGGTACTGCTCATCATAGTCCTGAATTCCACAGTACCACTCAAGATACAGTATGCAGTAAAAGGCCACACATAAACACACAGCCAACAAACAAGTGCCACAGGAAAGCCACCAGCTGTGGGAAGAAAAGCACATTAAACCATGTTTAGCACAGTCACACTGTAGTTTGCACAGTAATCTTCACTCCAGTCAGCAAACAGAACAATATCTGTTAAAAACACAATTGTGGCCTAGAGTTCCTGTGGGTTTTACCTTAAATTAGTCTTACAAAACACTTTTTGCCCTTAAAAGCTGTTAAACTGAGTTGAATTTTGCAATGAAACATTCCTTTCATATATTGTCCCCTCAAATATTTTGGAAATTCAATGTGACAGATCTTGTCAGAAATCTACTATAGTACCACACCAAAACCACTTTGTCAATAATGAAATTAAATAGGCTCCACTCCAACTGTGCTTTTCACTATAAATTAGACTGGTGATCTTTGTGCAACAGAAATGCTGCAGAAAGCTTTAATATGATTTCAGTTTGGGATCTCTCAAATTTAACAAGAAGCATGAAGATTATTCTTTACAACTGCTGAAGAAAACCATGGAGAAATGCAGAATTTTAGACTCAGAATCATAAAAACACAGGGTATGTGATTAATTAGGGAGAGACACTTTTGAGCCTCTTTGAGGATACACTTCAAGACTAGTTCAGATAAGGCAACTTGGGAGGAAGATGCACTTTAATAAAATCTTATCTGAAGGTGTATTAACAAATAAAAATTTTGAAAAATGAATCCTTACCATAACTTGATTACTAAATTACAAAGGGTAACCCAGGATCTTCCTGCTCAGGTACCATGTGCTCTAGAATGGTACAGCAAACATAATATGCTAGTTTGAAATTTACTACCATTGGAGAATCCTGCACTCAGAGAACTGTAGCCATGGCCTACCTACACAAGCAGTGCAGGAAGACAGGGTTGTAACCCCAAATTCTGATTACACCTGGGAGTCACTGGTTTTGCTTTCACAGTGAGCTGTATGAAGGGTATAACTAGACTGGGAGAGCAGCCCCAGAGACCCTCGCAGCACAGAGCTCTGTGCAGCTTCCACACACTGATATAACAATGCCAACAGCAAGGTGTTTTAAAAGCTGAAGCTATCTAAAAACATTTAACATACATCAATCCCATTGAAAATAATTTAATAGAAAATAAATGGACTAGAAGTAAAAATTACTTCACAGAAATTATTTCACTAATCTTTTGCTGACCTACTCAAAATCATCTACAAATCTTCTAGAGAAATGAAAACTTCTCTTTGACCTCTATGTATTAATTTCAGGGGGTTTGTTATAAAAAATAAAATCAAAACCTAAATACTTCCAACAAAACAGGCAGCTATTTCTTGGACTTAAATGAAAACTTGAAGGTACAGTATTAAAATGTCTGGTATCACAGCAAAATTTGTATGTACAAAGAGAGCTCAGTAGAGTTTATAGAGAAAAAAACAACTGTAGCAAATTTTAAACACTGTATTTACTTTAAAATCAGGTAAATTATATCAGCTTAGGTGGTCACCTGGCCCAACCTCCCTGCTCAAGCAAGCTCAGCTACTGCCAGTTGCCCAGAATCATGTCCAGATGGTTTTTGAGTATCTCCAAAGACAGAGACTCCACAACTTACCTGGGCAACCCATTCAGTGCTCAGACACCCTCACAGTAAACACGTGTTTCCTAATCTTCAGAGGGAACCTCCTCCATTTCAGTTGGTGCCCACTGCCTCTGGTCCTGTCCTGGACACCACTGGAAAGAGCCTGGCTCTGTCTTCTTTGCACCCTCTCTTCAGGTATTTACATGCATTGACAAAATGCCTCTGAGCCTTCTCTTCTCCACGATGAACACTCCCAGGTTTCTCTATTCCTACTGCAGATCTTGTTCATCCATGATTTAAAATACAGTGACCAGATGTAACAAACTGAGTATGATTATAGGACTAAAACACACCTTTTTGTAAGAAAAGATACCTTACCTCTCTGCTTGCAGAGTTTCTTTGATATTTTTTAAAAAATCAAAGTAGTATGTCACAGCTATTGATGCCAAAATCCAGAATGCAGAATGAATATTCAGTCTGTTAAGAGGCCTCATCGTCTTCTCTACAGCTGTAGACTCTTCTGTAAAGAAGAACATAATTATAGCACTAAAGTCAGTCATTAAATGAAGTATGATTATAGTTACATAAAGCATGATACTTTATCTTTTTAATTCATTTATCTCGGGAGATTATTCTACTCATCATAATACACTTTGTGCTACAAATATTCTGAAGAACTCTGAACATTTACTGAAATGAAACAGACTAAACAAAGTACCCTTTGATAAAAGGATAAAGCAGTAACAATCAGCACAACACTGTATCTGTGTATCTTTTTAGGAAACAGTTGACTAGATTTTCTAAAGGTTGTTTAACTAATGAAAAAGCCCTGGTTTTATGAAACAATTTTTTGTTAATTTAGCATATAGAATTTCAGGTTGCTACATCACTAATTTATTTTTACCCTTCTTTATGAATTTTAGAATTTGCAAAACGATTGCAGGCATCATTTTCTTGTTTGTTCTCAACTGCAGATAAGTCACAAATTTTCAGCTGCAGTTTCAGGAGCTAGCTGGACTTACACTGCACACCTTCAGCAGGCAAACTGCAACTATCATTGTGCAGGAAAGGACCTTCTCTTTTTCCCCTCATTACCACGTACTGTTTTAGAGAGATGGAGACATCAGAGCAAGCAGATAAGAAAGCCATTTTTGTGCACGACAGTAACCATGTAAAACAGTATTTATACACACTGTCACAAAAGGTGTCAGAGGTAGTTTTGATGTCTCTGAAGTTTATCGCAGGAGCTCCTGGTGCCCCGTATGCCTTCAGCACTGTCACATGTGCCGACTCCTCCACACGCACCGCCACCAGCCGAGCGTACTCACAGCTCTGCTGGAGCTTACAGGCAGCTTTATTTTTCATTTCCTACATTCCTCCTCATCCTACTGGAGCTTGGGCCCGGAGCATTCGAGTATTTCATCCGCATCAGGCAGATCAGGCAGTCGGCGGCTGCCAGCCCCTCGCATCCCCCGCGCCCAGCTCGCAGCCAGGAGCGGACACCTGAGGGCAGCGGGGCCGCGCTCCGCGCCGCTCCGCCCGAGGCAGCCCCGCTGCCGTCCCAGCGCCCGCCCGCCGGGGCCCGGCACCGCTCCCCGCGCCCCGGCACCACCCACCGGCCGTCCCGCCGCCCCGGGCAGGCGGCTGCGGCTGCTGCGGGTCCCGGGGCTCCGGCCCGCGCCGCCCCGGGCGCCGCAGCCTCGGGAGCGCGTCCCCGCCGCCGCCGGGCTCCATGTTGGGCCGCTCCGGCAGTGACGCGGCGGGGCGGGAGCGTGGCGGCCGCCACCGCCCGGGCGTGAGGGGCAGCGGCGGCGGCGGCCGGGCCAGGGCCCGCCGGTCCGGGGTCCAGAAACAGCTTCGGGATCGCGCTGAGCCTCCCTGGAGGGAGCGAGCACTGCCGTGTACAGCCGAGTGCCGTACTGAAGGCTGTGGTGCCGAAATGATTCAGAAAAAAACCCCAAAAAACTCTGTGGGTAGAAATGTTTTCCTCATCTGCCAAGCAGATGTTCTCCAGGGCAGATGTTAGGGAAATCTCGATTTCTGTGACAAACCAGTGGTGTAGGTTTAAAATGATTGTGGCATGATGCTAATTACACCAAGCTCTGAGGTTTGATCAGCATACGGGCCGCTCACTCAAGGGTTGGATTCCATGACCCTTCTGGGACCCTCCCAACTCGGAATATTCTGGGACTCTGAAATGCAAAGCTCTGGGGGCTTTCCAGAGCCATACAGGGAATCCTGTAGCACTCGAGACTGCAGCTCGTAACTGAAATAATAAACATATTTGCAAGACAAACTATGTCAAAGTTAAATAAACTAATAAAATGGTAAAATAGATTGTTTCAGTTCTGTAGTTGATATCTGCGTAGCTAGATACAAAGTCACATTAGCATGTTTCTGAAAACAAAACCTTGAAACCAATTGGGCTTTCTTGTTTACTCACACGGACAAATTCAAAACTACTCAATTTTGCTGGAAGGTTAACCTTAGGTCTGGTCCTTATAAGAATACTATGAATATTAAGAGTGAATATGTGTGCTGCATATTCTGGGGTGTGTTCAGTGATCAAGCCATTAACATAAAACATTTAAAATAGAAAATTGTTTCTAATAGTAATGATTGATTAGGTTAATTAGATGATCCATGTGATTGTTACAAAACCTGTGCTTTCTCAGAGAAAATTTGGTGGCATAACATTCCACTTAAGGCAAAAATCCTGCTGACTTCAATGTGGAAGTACCTGTCCAATACAGCAGCTGTTACGTATAGCTTTACTGTGGGATTAAATGTAGAAATACTCAATAAAAGCTCAGATTATTATCAGGGAGGTTGAAGAAACAAGAACCTAATTTCAGTACATGTGTTTTACTTACCAAAATCAAATTAACTGGCTGTATATAGGTAAAAGTTCAAAAATCCAATGTTTCGTAACCTGATTGTACTTTTCCTCTCAGGAGGCAAAATATTTTGCATTAAAACAATGATTATGAGGAATGTGTTAAATTTTCACTTACCACATGCATTCTTTGCATATTGTGCAGCATTTATCAACAGAAATACCTTGCAGATGCTTCCTTTGTAGTTTTATATTGAGAAAACAGGAAAATCAAAAAGAATGGAATGTAGGCTGTGGATAAGTAATTACGTATTTTATCAGTAAACCCTAAAAAACCCTAAAAAGATCCCTAATTTTAGGCAATCCTAAGGGAAGAAACTAACTGGTAGAAACTAATTAGGGTAAAAGCTAAACTTTCTGTGACTTGCACTGTTTTTAAGCAGTTCTAAACCTGCTGGCTAACTATATTTTCCTAAGTATACTATTGTGTGTTTTATTAATGACTGAGATTCTAGGGACAAGGGAAAACGGGGTTCTCATTGTTCTTTATTACTGCACATTGCATTTAAGTAAATTCAGCCTAAAAGATACAAGAACAGAAAAAACAAACCTTTTTCTGCAGAAAGACAGGCCTTCATTTACATCTGAATTTCATGTGAGAGGTGTCGTAGTAAGCAGAAATTGTTTTCCCAGCCTTAGAACATGTATCACATAAGGGCCAACCACACTGCAGTCCTTATGACTACAGGGATTATTCTTTATGTAGTTCAGTTGAATATTTTGAAGTTAGCAGCTCGTGGGAGATCAGAGCTCTGCTTTCTTATCAATGAAATAGAGGTTTCTTTGTTTTATTTCCTTTGAGTGAAATGACTACCTCAGCCTTCACTTTCATCTTAGTGATTCAAATAAGAAACAAAGGAAATCCTCATGCACTTTCTTTGCAAAAGCTATTCATAGGATATATCTTTGATTTAAACATAGCAATTAAATAAATATGTATGCTTGGAAAGGTTAAGATCTGTCAGTGTTGTTAAACTGAACACTTCTGTTTACCTACAGAGTAGGTATTGTGCAAAGAGCTGAAATAAGAGCTTCCTTCCTGGGCTCACTATTGACCTTAACTGAGACCGCTCATGTTCTGTGTTTGTAGAGCTGAGATGTTTTCTGTGATCTTTTCACAGTGCTTCTCTGATTCAGAAATTATTAATCTGCCAAAGAATAGATAGTGATCAGGAGCTGAACCGAGACTGTCACAAAATGAACAACATAATTAACAAAGCATCAACAGGCCTGTTACGGATAATTAATTCTTCCAAGTTAATGTTTAACAATACTCTCATGAAAGTTAAAAAGTATTTTAAAATGTGATGCTTGATGTGATAACTTTAGTTAAAAGTCTGTGAAATAAATTTGTGAATTTGAAGTTTCAGTGAAAGAAATGTACAAAGGGCAGAGCTTGCAGAAATTTTTTTGTGAACTGTAATCCCGGACTCTCACATAATGTGATTCAGTTTCCACATCTTGGGAACTGAATTCAACACCTTCACATTCTTTTATTTTGAGTAGAAAATAATGCTTTGTATGTTAGTTGAATGTCTTTAAATATTCAGGTTTTTTGGTTATAAGCTGAATTTCGGAATCTATTTGGATATTTTGAATTTTATTTTCTTATTGCTCACTGAATATTTGCTGCTTAGTGACTAGTTGGTTATATGTTAATTTACAAGTAATTCTTAATGGCACACAAATGTGGTAGCTTTTTTGTGTCTCTTGACCAAGTAGATAAAAAATTTAGAATTTGAATTCCCAGTTAAATTCTCACTTTTAGGAAGTCAGATTAGTTTTCTAATATTCCAGCCAATTTTCATAGCTTTTTCCCTATTACAGAAATCAAAAGCTAAATTAGCCCAAATGTTATCTGTTCACAAAACACCTGACTGGAATTTTCTTCATTTCATATCTAAGTAGGGTGGGCTCCTTCCTATGTTAATTTTTAGCTGAAGTAGGTTGGATACAATATAGATGTATTTTTTCATTTTGAGGAATAAAATAATAGTGTTATAATACTCTGTGCTTTCTGTTCACAAACTAAATAAAGTCAGTAGTAATCTGCTGCTTATCTTCCACTATCAGGAGTAAAAGATTGGATGGGTAGAGATTCTCAATCCTTTCTGAACCTTGTCCTTGGACTAAAGTATTGTGCATCTTCTCTTACACTGGGTGAAAAAGTAAATATATTGTCTGACTCACCTAGGTAACAAAAAAGCCTCTAAATAGTACAAACAATTCCCCTGCTTTCATCTTGCATTCTTTTAACTATTTTAAATTCAATACAATGGAAAGAACTTAAAAGCATTTGGTGTGAATAACTTAATGCAGATCTGAAAAACAACTGCTGGGTAAAACTCTATTGACTCTGAATGCAGTCCATATACAAACTCCTGAACTCAAGCTGAATTCTCATGCGAGTATTAAATTGCAGTGCAGCCTTGGATTGACCCTTTAGGAAGGAAACAATACATAGAATAGTGTGCTTGATACCAAGAAGGCTCTATATTTAAGCATGCAAGCATTTGAACTTTATGAAGAAAAAGAAAGCAGAAAAGATAAAGGCAGTTTAAAAGGTGAAGAGGGCATCTAGGAGTACAGAAGAAAATGCACCACATGAAGACATCTAATTTATATAGGTATGTTATTCCTCACCTTGAAAGTTGTCAGCAAATTACAAAAAAAATAGCTGATGTGAAGTATTTATTTGATAGAAGACCATCTTCGCCCTCAGTTATCCTGATTAGAGATGTTAGATATCTTTAGGGTTCGACATTTGCCTTTTTATAATCAGCATTTGAAAGATAAGAGGACTGTTCTGTTCTTTCCATCTTTAACTGTGCAAACAAAACCAAAATACTTATCCAAATTTATCCAAATATCCAAAACTCTTCCTATTTATTAAAAATAAATCTGTATAAACCATTTTCCTACTAGTAGCTAAGTAAATTTTCTTACTCTCTCTCTTCTAAATCATTTGTTTAGCATCATTTAACTATGCTTACTTTCTTGAGGGGGTACAATGGCTCTCAAAATGTTTTCCCAAGACTACAGTTTAATGATACAAAGCACTTGGCAGCAATACTCCAGCTATAATTGTTCTTGACTACTCAATCCCCAGTAGTGGTATATAATACCTCTCAGTTTGAGGATTTGATCTGCTTTTAAAAGCCTGCAAAAATGCAGGGGGTGGCGGAGAGGCAAAAACAAATGGCCAGATGTGGGAGAGTGGCAAAGAGTGGGACTTACTGAAACCGATTTACTTAGGAAAAAGTCTGTGCAACCATGCATCTGTAACAATATGAAAAGAACTTAATTCTTAGGGCATTTAGGAACATCCTAAAGTATGTTTTTTGAATACTGAATGTCAGACCTAATTCACACAGGAAAAACTATCAGTTGTGGGAATGGGCATTCAAGTGTATCATTCAACATTTACTGCACAGAAGTATCAGTCTCTCTTGGTGTGACACTTTATTTCTCTGTTGGTGGAGGTTAGCATTATTTCAGGCTGTGATAGAATTTTAACAATGGTTTTGGAGATGTCTAGTGCCACCACTGCTTATGATTTGACTGATGCACTAAAGCAGTGGTTCTCTCTGTTAACAAGATTGGAAAGTACAGTTCAGCATAGCAACATCTCCTTGCTGTGTATTGTGGGATTCAGCTCATGCTGTTTCTGTGGAGTCTTGAAAAAAAAAAAAAACAACAAATCAAAGCTCTTACATCTCTTACATGCTTCATTCACAGTGAAGGTTTTCTTTGTGTCCTTCACAGTCTACTACCACTTACATATTCTGTAGGGTCAATTTTTCACGTCTTTTGAACAGGTATTGTAATTAATTGGACA